CTATATAAAAACGGTAAGTATGAGGGTTTATAACTCTAGAAATCAGGTTTCGATACTTGCAGTGGACAGAGCGCAGATTGTCCAGTGTGTAGCTTTATGCTTAAGAACAAAACAAACTTGTTTAAAGAATCATAATCATGGCTGTTGAGCAGGGCTAAAACATATATTTAGTTTCAGCAGTGGTAAATCTTAAGGGAGATACTATTTTTAGAGCTTTATTTAGAACAGAGTATACGTGTAAAAGTAACTTTTACCCTTTATTTTAAATACTAACATTTGCGACATACTTGCAAATAACTTACACTTTTTTTATGTAATTTAGTTTGCGTATATGTCTGACAAATTGGTAAAATGTTACAAGATACATAACACACCAATCATGCGATAACACAAACGCCACAAAATGAAACGACGTGGAAGTTAGGCCGAAAGGTATATTTTGAGAATAGTAATGTTTTACTGAAATTGTAATATGTTGTTTGTAATGTTAAAGCCTAGCAGTGATATGATGGCCTTCTACTTACATTGTAGTTTAATTTGATTGGAAGGAGGGGTGGCGGGGGATTGTAATATGGATTTTTTAGTGTAACCCACACCACGCCGGTATATGTAAAGTTTGTTCGTGTGTTGTGTGGCTGACCCCATTACAGTGCAAAACGTCGTCGTTATGTTTTATCATCCATCCTTCGAAGAACGTGGTTTGTAAGGGTGCATGACACTATGAAGTTTCGTCCTAGAACTTTTATACTGATTACGTCAGCGCTCCATAGAAGTACATAGCCTTGAACAGTACAGTGTTAAATAAGTTTAAAAAATACTGAATAAAGTTTAATTTTTTTGCTTATAGAAATAATGACTGTGTGTATGTGGAGTTTATTCCTCTAAGTTTAACCTTCAGATTACTGACTTTTTATACTGTTCACTACCGGTTGGGTCCACACACTGCATTATGTTGAACGCTTTTTTTGTTGTTGTTGTTGTTCTTGCCTATTATAATACTCGGCCTGTAATTAACTAACCAAAACAATTGGGTGAAATCACGTATTTTCTGTGTAAACTACACTGGAGATACCAGCAGTAATTAGTGGGATTAATTACAGTATTCATGGCATTTTTCTGTATTTTGTATATTTGACTTACGTTATTAGCCATCATGTAACCAACAAAATAATGGACGAAGTAGATACATGGATGTATAAGATCGGTGACTAAGTTTAATCCTGTGAAATTTAAATAGATCAGGTTTGTTTGTTTTTTAAGTAAGCCAAAATAGACTGGATAAGTAACTAACTGGCAGTAACTGCTTTTCAAAATATGGAAAATAAATGTTATTAAAATATATTAGATTAGGTTTCCTGTTAATGCTAAATTGATAAACGGCTCGTCATGGCCAGGTGGTTAGGGCGCTCGACTCGCAATCCGAGGGTCGCGGGTTCGAATCCCCATCACACCAAACATGCTCGCCTTTTCAGCCGTGGTGGCGTTATAATGTGACGGTCAATCCCACTATTCGTTGGTAAAAGAGTAGCCCAAGAGTTGGCGGTGGGTGGTGATGACTAGCTGCCTTCCCTCTAGTCTTACACTGCTAAATTAGGGACGGTTAGCACAGATGGCCCTCGTGTAGCTTTGCACTAAATTCAAAAACAAAACAAACAAACTTGATAAACTCGTTGCGGTCAAAAAGTTAAGAATCCAAGCGAAAATAGATAGTCATGCCACTCTGAGATAACCATTTGAGGCCAGACATAACCACATAACGACTTGGGAACCTCACCGCGTCTTTACAGTCTACGTCGCAACTTTCGGTCATGCTCTTTCTAACGATCGTACGTTTTGGTAGTAGTCCTGCAGCATATTTTTCATTGTAAAAGGCTTCGTCGTAAGTCAGTAATATCTAATGCATACCATCCCTCCAGTTTGCTTTCCATAAGCTATCTAGTGTACGAGGACGATAGTTTCTCAGCCTCCAATTCAACAGTCGAATACCACAGAAATGCATAGGTGCTACGTCCGGTAATTTGATAGTTACGTCTTCGTTTGGAATAGCAAGAATACCAAGTTTCATTCTCCATCATTTTATATTGAACGGATATATCATGGAAGCAGTTTGTGTACACATTACTTGTGTTGCTTTTCCGGACAGAAATCCTTCTTTATTATGTTGCGTACTGTTGTCTGCGAAGTTCATGTTCGTGAATTCTCGCTTGTTACAAGATATCACACTTTATTTACCATGGGTAGGATACGACTTGTTTCAGGTTTCTTTATGGAAAATTCCGAAATCCCCAAGTTGATTCATATTCTTTTGTTTTCCAATGCAATTAATTTTAAGGTATATTCCCATCTCGATAGTTCTAAATCCCTAATCTGAACACATTTTTGTGATATGATGGTATCAGTATTTTGCATTAGAAAGGGCTTTCACATGCCCTTTTAAAAAAAAATGGTCAGTTTTCGATAGGATAACACTATTCACGATCGCCAAATAATGTAAAAATGTTGTTCTGATACAGGTCTTTCCACCGCGATTTTATATTGGCTGTAGTTGTCACGTGACTTGCTGATCTGCATATTCAAAATCGCTTTAATATAGCGTACTCAACCCTCTAGTTTTTGTAATTTATTGTTACCTGCAATATGAAATCATTTATTTTTTGCACGTTGCCTCCCTTAATCTTGCACAACAGCGCGGTGTAGAACCGCTTTTCAGCAAATGGATATTTTTATCCCATTCAACTTTAATGATATCTACGGAATCCCACTTGCCTGCTTTCAGACATTTTTATATTTATATTTCTCGTCTCTATTGTAAGGCATTAATTATAAGAAAAATCTACTCAACCTGATATACCCCATGTTTAATTTACATCTGGATGTTAATACATAGTTCTAATAACTTTATAGAGTAAATTACTTTCTGTTTGATAAAAGTACAAAAGCTAACTTTGAACTGGTGTACTTTTGAAAAGTGTTTTTTTTTCTTTCACGAGGATACTATTTTTCGCAAGCGCTTGAATTTTTTTAGTTGTTCTTTGAACTTTTTGATAATCACTTTCTAGTAGTGATCGCGATGTTATTGCACTTAAAAATGTACCATATTAGTATGTGTGCAGTAATTGTGGATTGTTAAATACCAATTTCATTAAGGTCACTTCCTTAGGGTTAGAAAAAAGTGGTCTTAATTCATTGTTTGAAATTAAAAATCTTTGGGCGATGTAGTGTTGTTTATTTACTTGAAATTTTTTTCAGGGTCTTATTATTTATGATTGATCATGACGCAAAGGCCATATTTGCTGATACTAGCACCGTATTTTAAAACTTGTGGGAAGTTAGCTAGAAGTATAAATGACGAAGAAAACCTATCATTTTTCATAATTTTAGAACAGCATGCAAATGTAAACATCTTATTGCACCTTATAGCTCCGTAACAGCAAGTAGACTAAATAATGACAGTATCGAGAATCCATATTATCAGCTACGTAATGAATAAAAACCCTATAACCCGAGCGCTTTTTCATTAATTTATATGAAGACTTCTTGAATCTACGTGTTTTTCCATCATCATGGATCAGCTACGTAATGTAGCTTTACGCGAATGCGATGCGCTTATTACTATTTTTGCCCTGAAAAAAATTATATATTTATTTGAACTTCCGACTCAAAGACAAGATTTTGTTTACAGTAGATTTGCGAAGTTATTTGGATCATTCGTCAGAGCTGTGAAAGCTGAAAATAGCTTCGAATATTGACATCGTTAGGAAAGTATGTATACATATGCACTCCAACTTCGTGTCGTTATTTGGCGAAGTTACTTCCATTATTACTTTGAGGGATCCCTGGCTTAACCATATGCGGCTGCTGATGAGCCATGTTATAGCAGCAACCTTATCCCCTGATGAATAATGTCAACGACTTACGAACTCTCTGGCGCCCTTTTGCTACACAGCCAAACGTGAACCCTAGTTTTGAATCATTAGTGGGGAAATCTATAGAACTGGCTGATGATGTGTTGATGGCCTGTCATCCTTGATGAGGCCTATACACATTTTGCATGCAGTTTAAATGACTTCTGGTTTTTAGACTGCAAGAAGTTATGATAAAGCCCTTAACAGAAAGCTTCTTCGATGTTATAATTTATTGTAAAACCAGAGCAAACCTCAACTGATTTAACTGTTTTATGTGATATATTGAATGTTATAAGTCAGTTCGGTTTTGTTTTCTAACTGTGATGCAGAATTTTGAGGTTTACTTGACCAGAGGAATATATGTAGTGAGGAATTAGTGCATGATAAATACATGCTTTTTGTAAGGGGGGTAAAAAGTTATTTAAACAACACTTTGAGTCGTTCAGTACAAACAGCACAATAAGAGACTTGTAACAATGAGAAATGGATAATGTGAGTCATTATACAGCATAAATATTTTGATAATGAAGCTGTAAACACAATTTCTAAGGAACAAAAAAAATGTATAATGTAAATGAGTTTTGTAATTTTCATTATTTTATTTTCAATAATTCTAAAAGGTTTTTAAATGATGTATATTTTCAATTTAAAAATTACAAAGAAATTAGTCTTGGAAGCCATAAAAATGGATGACTTATAATTTAGATGTGTGTGGAAATATATATGTATATTTATTTATATGCACAATGTATATCAAAATAAAAACCACAAGTAGTATCAGAATCACGCATACAGAAAGTTTACAATTGTAGCTTAACCATCTTCTGCATGAGCACTTTTGAGAGTTTCATTTATAATGAAAAAATATAAACTTATAATTCAAATATACAATTTCTTGGACATTCTTAAAGATTTTTTTTATAGTGTTGAATGTTGTACTTATGTCGTTAGATGGAAATGGTGGCATCCGACTATATAGTTGTAATAAATTTCTCAGTTCTGTTTACCTGGAACTAGATTTTTGCAATACTGTTGCAAGTCAAGTGATTTTATGGTTATTCTTAGTAACCAATCAGTTGAATCTTCAATTTGCAGGCAGAGGCCAGACTAGCTGCACGAAGGCAGGCTCGTGCTGAAGCTCGAGAAATTCGAATGCGAGAATTGGAGAAGCAACAAAAAGAGGTAATGGAAAGAACACTAAAACAAATCAGTTTGAATGAATAAAGGATGTACTGTTTTACTGTCAAGAAAGTTATCATGACAACACCAGATTAGGACTAGAATGATAAAAAAGTAAAAGTGCATCAACTTTAAAAAGGAATGACTCCTAACGGCTTTGTAAATGGATGGTTTGTCCAATAAATTACACTTACTAGCACTGATATATGTAAGGATAACAGTAAAGTGAGTCATTGTATGAAATAACTTGGTTCTGACGTGAAGTTATGTGTTTGTGTGTGTGTGTCAATTTCAACATTCAGACTTTGTAAAAGCAAAACTTCTACAGTCTTCATTTTGTGTGTTTTTAAAAAACTTTATCTCATTCAGTATGAAAGATATTATAATTGTACTGAAAGATTTAAACATAAATTATTGTTTTATGTTGCCAAATGTTTAATGTTTGACTTCTTCACAATGTAGGCTGATCAACAGAGTGATAGACATTATGAACTTCTCAGTGACCCAGTGCGGGGGAGGCCTAGTCGAGAGGTTAGCACTAAAAATGAACAATTTACACTGTTAATATTTTTGTATATTGTATGGAGATATAAGTAAATACATGAGCAAATTAAACTTGCAATATGTTTTAAATGATTAGAGATTTTCAAGTTTCATTGGTGTGTACAAAAATGAATACTTTGAGCAAGGTTGTTGCTGACTTGTATATAAATTATAAAAGAAGCAACAATGTTTTGCTAACTTTGTTTTCTAATGAAAGGCTTGTTGGAAAAAAAAGGTTTAAAACTGAAATTGTACTTGGATGTGTATTTTCAACTGAAAAGATGTTCACCTACTTTAGTAAGTTTAAAAACACTTTAAAATATATTTTTGAAATAGTACAAAATAAAATTAAATATGAAACTTTAAACTAACTTGTGAGTCTTATGTATACTTTAGGTGGAGGTAAGAATACATGAAGGTGAGTAAAAACTTACAAATTGAAATTGCCAGATGGGAATTTACATGTGCATTATTTATTTTTCTTTTGCTACCAACTTTATATTTATCCTTTAAAAATTTAGAATTCATGTTTGTTTAGATACATTTCAAGTTCATGTATCTGCGAACATGGATCTAGCCCTTGATTACTTATACGTAATGAATATGCTTCAATAGAAAGATGTATAATGGAGAATAAAACTAAAATCATCTCCAACTAGCTACAGAAGATAAAAATATAGTGATTTGATGGACTTTAATGTATTCTTATACCACGCTATAAAGATGCCTTTACTTGCGTATGTATGTGTTAATTTCTGCATGTGAGTTTTAAACTATTATATTATAATTTGAAAATACAATTTGTGCATACGTGTACAGCAAAATTAGTCCCCTTCCCAAAATGACTCATTATATCATTGATGATTATATTTTTATAATTAATTACATAGCTATATTTACTATAAATAAGTATGTGAACATAAACAATATTTATGGAAGACTGAAACAACTGGTGATTGATTGTAATAGTGTGAAGACTTGAGTTCATGTAAAGCTCTTATTAGAGTCTTCTGTTCCTAGATCCATTTCACAGATACTAAATTTTTGAAGTTTGGTTTAACTAATTTTTCAACGGTCAGAAATATTAAAAAGCAACTTTTTAGTGATGGCTAATGAAACACAAGAAATATCTAATGTGTGATATCATATATAAAAGCACGTGTGCAAGATATGTGGCACCACTCAAGAAATTGATCTATAAGCAAGTTGTCATTACACTGCCTAATACTCTGTAATATTTAGGGTACATTTCTGAACTGTAATCATGTGAAAATACATCTTACAAAGTTTGAAAGTTTTTGTTTTAAAGAATCACATTCAGTTAGTTAAATGTGACATACATGCAGATTTATAACATGATAAAAGGAATTCTCATAAATATCCACTACCTAATTCTTTCTTAGTTTGAAATTTTGTATAAAAGGTAGGTTATTTCTATGGAGTGATGTGATTTTAAATACATTTTGATTATTCAAAATGGTAGCCTAACAATGTAAACACAGACTTTTAAGTTGAAAGAAACTCTTTGAAGATTCTGACTTCAACTCTTCATGTTGTAATATGAAAACAACTCGAGGTAGACTGAATTGTTTAAAGCGTAGTTACATTGTACATGTAGACTCGGTGACATATAGTTTACAGAATATTTAGAGGGGTTATTATTTTAAAACTACATGTTTCAAGGCTACATTTTAATAAAAACCCAAAAATAGATTATCTTTGAATCAGAATACCTGGTTTATTAGCTAATAATATCGTAAGACTTGTATCATCTTGTAAATCACATTTTCTACCAAATAGGGAAGGTCGTTGATGTCTGGAACACCTTCTTTTACAAGTTCAAGACGGAGCAGTGAAGACTCCACAGAAGCTGTCGACAATTCTAGAGAACTAAGGGTAAGTTTATGAGTTTAATATATAAACTTAAAGCTAAACACGAGAGAGAAGTTGAATTTATTGACTACGTAAAATGTTTGAGACTAAACCAGTGTAAAGCAAAAACATCAAGGTCTTTAAGGTTTGAAATACTTTTTCTTGCTGTAATTCCTATGACTTACCTATTGGTAAGATTTAAGAGTTTCATTTGTATGATTTTTTTCGTTTATTAGAATAGTAAAAGGAAATACATTTAATTTGTGGCCTTAAAACTGTTCTGCATACTTGAGTAGGTGTAATGAATAACTTAACTGAATGTAACATAGCATATTCCTTACTTAAACCTACTGTATGATGTAAAGAGCTTTTGTATGAAGTGTTAAATATCAACACCATACATATGTACATTATACAACAGCACTTGAGATTTATTTTTGTAAGCACTTGTACTAAAATTTGTAGCCTTCGATACCAGATACAAAATATGTGTGTGTGTTTATTTAATGCATATCTATGTAACTTATCTGTTTGTTAATTTTTCATTCACTTTGTCCTAAAAAATTGAATAGCTTTATAAATTATAACCTGCATGAAGAGTCTGAGAGAAAAGCTTGTTTTTTTCTGTGTATGAAAGTTAAGTACATGTAGAGCATTAAAAATGTGACAAGTTTTTAATTCAAACCACATGTGCTTTAGAAAACAGCCTCACAAAGTGTTATATAAAGGTTGACAGCAGATAAGATTAAAAATCCTATAAGATGTAATTTAGGATATTGATTGAGTGAAGATTTTTTCAAATTTTAGTGGCTACTTTGAGGCTCCTTATCAGTCTTAGTTGTTAAATCAGTATTAAGTTATTAGATGGAATGGTTATTCACTGTAGCTTAAATACAGAGTCTTCTTCATATACAAAACCTGTTATAAGTAATTTTAGGAGGCATTGGTTACAGTAGTGTTTGATCCAGCTATCACAAGTTTATTTTCAACAGTTATTAGGTAGGATTAATTTAACCATAAAATCTGGAGTTAGTCATACAGAAATGAGTTTATATTTCAGTCATCACAGTATTTGGCAAATGATTAAAAAGCACTAAAATGGCTTTTCTATAATAACTCGGTATTGGAGCTTTCAAACAATACAACTTCTGTGCTTAGTGGTTCACCTCTTTCAGATAAATCGTCATGTGAAGATTGTCAAGATTTTGGTGGAAGTCTATTGCCTTTTGTAAAGTAATTATCTATAGAAAACCTATTTTTATTACTAAACTGGGAAAATGTTGGGAAGTTATATTTACTCTAGTCTCAGTTGTAACTGCAAGGTTGAAAGGTGTGATGTTTACATGAATGCAAACATTGTGTATGCAGTCATGATGAATTTCCTATTGAAGTTAAAATGATCAGAAAGAGAAGTCATCAAAACATGAAAATCTAGTTAGAAGAGGACAAGCAAACTGTAAAGGAGAAGGAATTATAAGAATAAAATACTTGTCAGGTGATAAAAAAATACATAAAGAACGTGTGTTGTTGTTTTTACTAAGTGTGTAAAATACCCTAGATGTTGTGAATATGTTGAAACCATTCTTAGAGTGCGAAACAAGGTCAAAGTTGAATGACCCTGGGCAGAAGTAGTCTTACTTTGGGAAGACTTTTCATTAACATCAAAACAACGTGTTGAGAGTATTACTGCATTCAGCAAAGCAAGAGATCAGACCATAAAATTATGTAAAGTTTTATTTGAAAAATTGATCTAGCAATTTCCTCTTCATAGTTGATACTGAAGCATGACAGTTTCTGCATGATTGACTCATGATTTTAGGATTAAAAATATGTATTAAGAAGCTAAAGTTTACTCTTTCTGTAATAAAAATCATGTTCTTCTATGTGTTTTAATATAATTTATACAAAAATATGTATTAAGAAGCTAAAGTTTATTCTTGCTGTAATAAAAATCATGTTTTTCTATGTGTTTTAATATAATTTATACAAAAATATTTTTCACTTAGATTTATGATTATAAAGCTTTTTTTCATTGAACAAAGGTTGTAAAGAAAGAATTACTATAAGTCAAGTGTTTTAATTATGTATAGCCTAAACTATCTGTACTTTTCTCAAAATTACTTTTGAAAATTCTGTTAGTTGTATTTGTTGTCAAGTACATTATTAAGAACTTTTAATTAAAAGTAAGTTTGTTTATAGATCTAAGCTAAAATAATGTAAAAAGTTGTGCATAGCAAAATTAATTCTTTGTAAAACAGCCCAGAAATGCTTAGGGTATATTTAACGTTAGGCTTTTACTTTAATATGATTTTTATTTTTTAATTCTTAAAATGAAACTCACAACAAATGTAAGAGGTGTCACAATAAAAAAAATTAGTCTTTTTGACAAGCACTGAAACAACCAATAGCCACTATTAGTGTTGTGTCAAAAAATAACACTTTAAGTTGAGTCAGACTCTAAAGTGATTTAACGTATGAAGTTTAATTTATGTATTTGAATAAAGTGTACGTATTGTTTACAATTAGATATAATCAAAATACATACATAGGTATCATATAAAAGAGCATAATATATAAAAATTGGACTATACTTGTTGAAGATTCATTCACATGTTTAGTTTTTGTAAATTACACATTAACCTGGTCTTTTATTTTAACAAGAATCATATGCTTGCACTGGTACATTTTTTTACTGACAAATTAGTAATTTTTACTTTGTTTAGCATCAATTACAGGACCTAGAAGAAAAGTTCAAAAAGGCCATGGTTAGTAATGCCCAACTAGACAATGAGAAATCTACCCTCACTTATAATGTAGACACTTTAAAAGATGAAATAGAAGAATTGGAAGAAAATTTTATACAGATACAGAAAGAACACAAAGACAAGTCAAGGGTAAGATATTTGTATTGATTGTTGAATTATTTATCAAAATATCTAAGAGGATCATCTTAGAGAAATTCTAAGAATGTGTTTTGATAAAGCAACTTATTGAACCTTATTATTAACTTTTCAAGATTTTTCATGTCTTCTCAGTTTGGATTACATATGTATCTTCACTGTGCAACTAAATTCACATTTTCTTACAGAAAATTTTCAAAGATCTTTTTTGTATTTGTATCCCCCATTTCAGTAATTCTATTAGTAACATAATGAAATAATACACATGGATATTTATATATAGAAACTACAATGTCAACATATCTTGTCAAAAGTTGCTGAAATAAAAATGAAAGCAGAGGAAATCCATTTTTTAGAATATACAGCTCTCACTAGGACTTCCAGATTATCAGGGAAATTGTGTATTATATTTTGAAAGAATAAATTTCACTCATCCAAAAAAAGATCTTTATAAACCATTTAAGCT